GGCACCCCTTGGTGGACATCATTTAGGTGGGGATTCCGGAAGTCATGGGCCAACTCTGCGCATGTCGATTAAACCCTAAATGCTCGGGCATGGAAAGAAAACTACTGGAGTGCGTCGCAAAAGCTCTATGGAAGGCGACTGTTGGACGACATCCCTTCCGCACCGCCGTTCACAACCCTGGTATGATTTGATTCCCCAACGTAAGTACCAAAGCTGTTATGGGATTTCTGGTGCTTTGATTTGACTCCACTGGTATGATTTAATTTTCCATATCAAAGTGGTGAAGGGATTTCTTGCATGCACAGTATGTTCGAGGAATCCTTGTGATTGAACACCACGGCCCTTTAAAGAAGCTACTGTTTGGGCACTGGTCAGTAGCACATTCTGCTTGGTTCTTGATGGTTGCTGAAATGAAATCAGGTGCACAGGCACTCCCATTTGATGTATGAGCTTACACGTTGGCTATCATGATTATGATCGTTTGCGTGGATAAGTCAAAATCTGCCCCCCCCCCCCACCCCCCCCGGCCCCGCCCAACAAGGGCACCGAGCCGCAAGAAAACACATGCACCGAGCCGCAACAATTCATGTTATTGCTAGTCTCCATCTTACATATCTTTATCAATGCTTCCAGGCAAGCCACTATGGTAGGTAACCAAGGGAAACCATGTGAATCCTAGAGGTAAGGATCCCTGGTGACTGCAAGCACTGGGACAACCCACCAAGGCACAATGCAAAGAAGCCCACTAGTGGGAACAAACAAGCCTGCCTACTGGCCCCTTCATTTTACCAAAGTCACCCCTATAGGTTCAAGGGAAACAAACCCAGTTTCCGAGTGAAAAAACAAACTGACCTCAAACCGGCGTGTCCTAAAATAGGGACCCCCCCAAAATATTGGCTCCCTGTGGTTGTCCTTCATCAACATAAGACACACCCAACTCATCTGAGCTGTCCACAAATCCCCCGCTAAAAGTTTAACTTTCAGTGAGCTAAATTCGGAAAACCAACCACTCTAAACCAGCTAAAAAGATCTCAAAAGCTAATTTGAACAGGATGGCTGGGAGCCACCAACTCATCACTCCAAAGACCCCGGAGAAAGAAATCAAAAGGACAAACAAGAAGGAGCAAAGAAGAAAAACAAAACGATAGAAAACAAAACAAGAAAAAAAGGGGGGAACAAAAAAATATATCCAGGCGCCGTTGAGGGCCTTCACCGCGTTGATGGCCTCCTCCACGCAGGACATCTGCACCAGGAAGGCCGGGCACTGCTCCGTGCTCTCCTGGTCCAGCGGCCGTAGGTCCAGCACGTGGCCGTAGGGCTTGAACCTCACGGCGAAAACCAGGCCCATGTGCTTCTGGGTCCCGGAGAAACAAAAAAGAAGAAGCAAGAAACCCAGTAGGGATGGATTCCCTAAAAACAAACAGACAAGAGAGGGAAACACACCAGAAACCCAGTAGGGATGGATTCCCTAAAAA